CTTTACCATCCATTCTTCCATTGTAGGTAATATCGAGTCTTTCCACCTTTGAGCATATAAAGGTCTCACTGCAATTATATATAAAAACAAGGTCCATGAGATTTTTCCAATTATTTATCCATCAATCCCAAGATTGATCTCTGGTTTCGATTGTATATTAATCTTCGAAATCTTCTGAGTTAATATATGTATTTGTGTCCAATTTTTTTTAGCTTTATTACATGTCTACTAAAGATTATAAAAGATTATACTAAAGTCCCTTCTTGTTGTTTACATTTCCAGCGTATATGTGAAGTCCCTTTGTACATTTTTGACAATCTTTCCGGTGACAAATGCCATTGATACATCATTTTATAAAAATTCGCTTTAAGATTATAACATAATGTAAATTTCAGCCCTTTCATCCACATACTTTCCCATTGTTCCATTTGTATATTATTCCAAAGTTTTTAGCCCATTTTATCATACAGTTAATGTAAATTTCAGCCCTTTCATCCACATACTTTCCCATTGTTCCATTTGTATATTATTCCAAAGTTTTTAGCCCATTTTATCATACAGTTAATGTAAATTTCAGCCCTTTCATCCACATACTTTCCCATTGTTCCATTTGTATATTATTCCAAAGTTTTTAGCCCATTTTATCATACAGTCTTTAACTTGTTCATCTTCTGTTTCAAGTCTCAACAAAAGTTTATACATTTTAGCAATACAATATTCATGATTAGTACATAACTCAGTTTCAAATACAATTTTATCACATTCAAAACCATACATCCTTTATCAACTTTAAATCTAATTGTATATGTGAAAAAGATTGACACATATATTCTTCTGATATCAAGTCCTCTCTTGATTTTATTTTAAATTCTCCGAGTCAAATTCCTTTTGAATATTTCTTTAACAATTGAAATTATTTGAAAGAAATATCTCCATTATGTATAATATAGCTTTAAGAGTCTCATTGTCACAGAGCTAACTGATCCACCCAACTTTTCTCTTTTCTAATTTTTTTTTTCTCTCCAGTTCGTTCCAATACATATGGGACTGTTACAAACAGTACCTAGGCAAAGAATTAGAAAAGTGGACCTGATTTTTTATCCCCACAAACCTTGCCACCTGGTGGAACAAGGTTGAGGACCGAGAGGATCCAAGTTAACTCTTTACACCCATTTAAATTCTGTTTAAAACCTGAAGAAGTCTGGCCCTGCATCTCTAGATTAGTTTATTTTAACTAATAAACTAACTTTATTTTGTTTATTTCTCAAGCAGGACATAAGAATTATCTTTAACAACTTTAAGTTGTCATCTCAAAAGTTTCTAAATTATAATCAGCACACTGAATTTTGCTCAGGCCAGAACAATATACTTTGCCTCCAATAATTCATGTACATAGCCCAGTGTTTCTCAACCTTAGCAAATTTGAGATGTGTGGACCTAGCATGCTGGCTGGAGAATTCTGGGAATTGAAGTCCATACATCTTAAAGTTGCTGAGAAACACTGACATAGAGAAATAAAAGAACACTCAAGGGAAGTATATACTCTGTACTTTCTAAACAGCCTTCTGAGAATAGTGGTAAATAAATGGCACTGAAATAGTCAAAACCCAAGGCTATAAAAGAATAAATGTTGTTGTTGGATCGAAATCAGAGGCTATTGCTTTTCACTTCCCAGTAGATAGATTTTTGGAATCTCCATGTTCTGAATGGTGTTTCTTGTAGCCTTGAATCTTGGGGAAGCAACCTTAATAAATCAGGTGATTCTAATGCTAGGAAAAAGAAATGGAAATGAAATGACCTACATTTCTGTTTACATTCTCATGTTTCATTGGAACCTGACTATGGCTCATTTCATAAATGCCATAGTTTTGAATGGACTCCTGAAAGAAGTATTTTACTATGTTTTCACTATGTAAAACAGATTAATATGCAAAAATGACTCCTTTTTTTAATAAGAGCCCATATCCTTTCATATCATAAGCATTGATTTTTCTTTAATGAAGAGAGATTTCTGTAAGATGTGCTTAAAGTTGTTTAAGTGCTAAACATTATTTAGGGTGACATGCAGTTGATTGAACTCAGGAAAATTAAACATTAACACTTATTATAATCTAGCTAATGAAATGCTTTTATCAGGACAAGAAGTCACTCTTGCTAATTAGAAATGTATTTATTTAGGAATATCTATGATAGGGAAATTGATAATATGAACTGATGTAATCAAGAGTCATTGATACGGATGTATAAGATGATGCCTAAAACGCAATGTAAGATAATGCCTATTATTATTTCATTTTTGTTGTTGGTTTTTTTTTCTTTAAATTATAGCACCTTTCACAGCTATACAATGGTACCTCGGTTCACGAACTTAATTCGTTCCACGACTCTGGTCACAACCCGAATTGTTTGCGACCTGAATCAAATTTCCCCATAAGGTTCAATGTAAATACGGTTAATCCGTTCTGACCCCTCCGAATTTGGTCACAACCCGATTTTTGGTCGCATCCCAAATCAAATTTCCCCATAAGGTTCAATGTAAATACGGTTAATCCGTTCTGACCCCTCCGAATTTGGTCACAACCCGAT